AAAAAAAATTTAAAAAAAAAAAAAAAAGAGGCTCCTCTTACATAGTGCTACACGTGCATGGAAAAGAGGTCTCCATCTCAAGAGTAAGATCTAACAGAGTAGGATCTAGGAGTAGTTGTTCAGATACGTCTGAGACTCCTCTTCCTGATCAACTTTGCCCTCAGTCTCAATAGGCCTGACCCTGAATCACTCCTTTACAACATAATGTCCCTTCCACAGCAAGGAAGGACAACCAGCTGATGCCTGAAGCTGGATCCTCTGTTGCTTCTATCCTGAAGAGCAGACAACTGTTGCTAAGAAAAACTTGTGTATCGATTATGAATGCGAAGTTTAAGAACTATTGACTAAGCCTGGGTACTGAGAAGTAAAGATCAGACGTGCATACAAAATCCCAAAACAGCTATCAAATAGCTTTAATGAACCTCAGATGGTTTTGTTGAAACCCAACAAATGCTTCCTCTTTATCACGGAAATATGGACATGACCCTAATTAATCAACTAATTATATTCGCCCATTTCCACCACTCTCAACCTGTGACCTACTGTCTGTTGCCCCAGTCCTCCTTGGCCGTGGTGCACAGAAGTGATGGATGGGGCCACTGTTTTCCTGCCACGGAGTTAACTGAATCTAGTTTAGTGCTATCTTGAACGCCCCAGGCTTTGTGACACTTGAAATTCTAATTAGTGCAGAAAAGGGCTAAGTTGAAACAGCTTGGACTCCCTCAAGTATACCCACTCTCAGGGCCCTATAATCTAATGAGGTCTATGAAATTTAAGATCTAGCAGAGAAATCCCTGCCTACAGCAACAGCTGTACCCAGGATGACGACAAGGGGATTTGGGTTAAATTAGGGGCTCCAGATAGCAGGGAGAGTATCCCCAAACGATCTGGGAGACCCACATGACTCGGATCCCACTCGTTGTGGTGTGACTTAGAATTAGCTAGATTGACCCATGGCTCTGGGTTGTGGCATGTCAAAGAAAAAGCAGGAGGGGTTATGGCTACACAGATGGGAGAACTTAGTCCCTACAAGGTGTGGTAGAGCAGGTGAGGGCAGCTGGGGCCAGAGAGACTCTCTCAAGGGCACTCCCTCTTGTAGGCAGTAGAGATGGAGGAGAGGAAGAGACCCGTGACTCCTGAAAGAGCCCCCACAAAGGAAAAAGGAAGTTCCTTTGCTATTAACTACTTTGCAGTAGGAGCAGGCTAAATGTTTGCCGAACACATTTGGAAGAGGAAGAGAGGAGATAATCGTCCTAATGAATGTGCAGGAGACAATAGCAGCTCCAGTGGGAGAATTATAAGCTCATTATGGTTTAATATGATGATTGATCATCTCTGCCCGCCAGCATTATCCTAGAATAGTGATGAAGGTCGAGAGACCCATGCCAGTCAGAGCTCAAGCACCAGCCACCACAAGCTAGAAAACATGATTTATATGTTATGTTAAAATGTACACACGTGGCCCCAGTTCCCTAATTTTTCCCGTCACCTGTCCTCCGTCTCCCGCCCCCGCCCCCGCCCCCACCCCCTACCGTCTGCCCCATTTCTCTTTGATTTCTCAGCCATGGATGGTGTTGGTTTTGTTCCTCCATATGTCTGTTCATCAGCTCTGGCTCCTGACCCCATCCCTTGAGAAAATGGCTACAGCTTCCTGGGTTTAGGTAGGTCCAAATGGCCCTTCAGTGGGTACTAGTTGGCACTCGGTTCAGGTGGAAGGTCCGGGATACCTCCCGATAGGCATTTCGAAGCAGGACGTAAGGGAAACAGGACTCCAGCATGTCCAGGGTCAGGAAGGAGGACTCCTCTACCACCTGGAAGGGAAACAGGTCAAGAGATGAGAACCTCGGGGAGGGTATAGCTCTGTGACACCCTGTTCCTTCGTTCAGTTTCCTGGGCCCTCTGAGGCTCTTAAGAGTTACAAGTGAACAAGTATCCAAATCACACCCCCCTCCTTCTTCCCCTCACTTGGTTTAGCTTTAGGAAAGCAACGTGGCCTCTTCAGCTTCCCTATAATGGCCCCTGTGTCCCTTCTCAGGGTTACAGGAAAAGGTCAGAAGCAGAAGACAGGAAAGAGTCACTTCTCCGGTGGCAGAAAAACTCCCATTTTCCCCATTCTGGATGCCAAATCATTTGCGGGGGGCAGCACAGAAGCAGGTAAGGTTGGATAAAAGCACCAATGACAGAGCTTTACAGAGAAGGCAACAACCACCACTGCAGGCCAAGAAAGAAGGGCCTGGAATCCACATGGGTCCTCTTGTGCTGGGTCTCAGTCTCCTCCCTCCCTCAATACAGTGCTTGGGGAGCAGTAAGGATGCTGCATAAAGGAGCAGGCATGATTAATTAGTTTAATTAGAAGCCTGTGTGCTATGGTGATCCCAGCAGCCCCACAGCCAAGCAGAAAGATAGATCAAGATGCCCGGATAAGACTGAGGGTAGAGGGGGTGGGGGAAGGGGGGCATATTAGCAAAGAGCCCACGGCCTAGCATTGGGCTGGAGGCTCCCCATCCCGGAAGAAGAAACAGGGTGTATCTCCTTCAGTGCTCTCCTCATCCATGAAGTTGTGGGGCTAAAAAACACACTCTGGAGAGAAGTGTCCTGTATCCTCTGGCAATTTACACAGATGGGCCCTCCCCAATATGTCTGGTGTTTTTGATTCCTCAAAATTCATTCTGGAAAGAGAATCTACTATATCAACTCTAATGTGTTTATTTCTCTGAAGTCCTTTCAAGTTTTAAATTTTATAAGATTCTGCTATTCTCAAATATGTGCACATACAAATGCACACAAACAGCCTCAGAGGAACAGACACGGCAGGCTGGAGGAAAGGAAATCTGCCAGAAAAACAGTAGCTCCGATCTTAGGTTGGATAACAGAAGGAATTTCTCGCTAGGCAAGACTTTCTAACCGTAAGCCAGGAGAGAGATAGGGTCTCTTTTCTAGGATAGGACCCTCAGGTCCAGGGAAATGAGTGATGGCTTCACGAAGAATCCACTGGCCCAAGACTTCCTATTCTTTGCTCCATTAAGCACAGAGGATAACACGGCTCCTAACTGGAGGAAATTCATGGCAGTAGAAACAGCCCTAGAGTGAAAGCCAAGACACTTGGGTTCTCATGTCCATATATTTTGGGGGAGACCTTGCATGTGTCATCCTTCCCACCCTCTCCTCAGTTTACTCACCCATAAAGTGTAAGGACTGGACAAATTGCCAGGATCTGGTCTCATTCTGACATCTAGAATTCTATGATTCTCTGAGAGCCATCTCTTCCCCGGCTAAACCCATGCCAGGAACAGGCTGGCAGTAACAGGGGTGGGCACTGCCCAGCCTTGACAGCCAAGACAGAAAGACCCCCAGGGAGAGAAGTGCCTGGCCAGGAGTTGGGGCTACATGAGTAGCCTCTTAACTCAGAATACAGTTCCTTCCCCTGTATTTCCATGGGGAAACATTTGCATTTAAATTGCTTTGCAGCAGCTCCTCCCTAGGTCTCTCCCTCTAACAAAAAGGGCCTAGCTCTGTCCCAGCTACTCGGCTGCCTCACTGTGAGGCCACAAGGGGCAGACACCCTGCCACAATGAGGGGGAGGTGGGGGGGGGGGGGGGGGGGGGGGGAGTTGGGGACGAGCAGGGGACCAGCAAAGCAGAAGGAGGCAGGGCTGAGTGGCCATACAGAATCGCCTCCAACCTTACAGAGGTGACAGCTGCCCAAGTAAATGATGAAGCAAATGAAGAATCATCCAGAAACTAAAATGAGCGGCAGAGAAAGAGAACTAACATTCGTTGAGCATGTATTATGTACTAAGCACTTTCACATATATTTTCTTATGAATCCTGACACTCTATGGCAAGGACTACGGCCCACTTTTCTGGATAAAGAATCAGAGTCTCAGAAAGGTTAATTAACTTGCCCAAGGTCATGCTGCTCCAAAGACTGTGCTCTACCTAGCACACTACTGGCCTTTGCCCTCATCTGCCTCCTCTGCCCTTTCACCCCTCACCATACACCCCTCCCTCCCCCCACACCCTCATTCCATTCTCTTCTCATCTCCATCAGGATCCTCAGCCCAGTCTAGGCCTTTTTCTAGCTGAGACACAGATCCCACTCCATGCCTGTGTATTTACAGCAGACTCAAAGGGAGTCCCAGGCATGCCTGCCTCTAACATCTGTGGGCCTTGCCAAGAGTACAGCATACTATGTGATTAAATAAATCAAACTATTATGTTCTGTTGTTCAACCTTCACAATCTACCTTTATAATTTCGTGGAAGGTCAGGTTTGAATTAAGAATTCTTAGACTCAAAAAAAAATTTTTTTAATTAATAAATAAAAATAAAGGGGCGCCTGGGTGGCTCAGACAGTTAAGCATCCGACTTCAGCTCAGGTCATGATTTCACGGTTCATGGGTTCAAGCCCCCTGTGGGGCTCTGTGCTGACAGCTCAGAGCCCAGAACTTGCTTCTGATTCTGTGTCTCCCTCTCTTTCTGCCCTTCCCCTACTCACACTCTGTGTCTCTCTGTCTCTCTGTCTCTGTCTCTGTCTCTCTCCCTGAGCACTAGAGGTAATCTTCCAACAGCACAGCCCGCCTCAATAGGATGCACTTGGGGAAGAAACTTTGCACAAGCCCTACAAGTAGGCTGGAGCCGCTTAGCAGAGAATTCTGGGGTCCCAGAAATCTTTAGTGTGGATTTCAAGGCGGAGCACAGGCTCCAGATCGGCCTGTCCTCTCCCCATACGCCAGAGGAGGGTCTCTGAAACACAGGGGTCAGTCCCGGAGTCTCTCCTGACCATATCTAAATGCAGTACTAACCTGGAGAATCAGACATTTAGAGCAAAAGAGTGAGTAAGCGTGTTGAAGAGGAAAACAGGGTCATGAGGAAAAGATTTTTTTAAGTTAACTGAGTCAGAGTTCCCAGAAGTTTCTGCCAAAGTAGCAAAAAGCCCACAGCTTGGGAAGAAAGAGATAGCAGGAGGCGCCTGATTCATGACCCACCGCGCTCTCGGTCTTAATAGCTTTTCAGGGGAAAATTCTTTCCTCCTCTGAGCCCCCAGTTCCCCACCCCCAGTTCAGCTCTGTATTATTCTGCACCCTTCCCATAGTACTTTTTTTTTTTTTTTTTAATTTTTTTTTTTTCAACGTTTATTTATTTTTTGGGACAGAGAGAGACAGAGCATGAATGGGGGAGGGGCAGAGAGAGAGGGAGACACAGAATCGGAAACAGGCCCCAGGCTCTGAGCCATCAACCCAGAGCCTGACGCGGGGCTCGAACTCACGGACCGCGAGATCGTGACCTGGCTGAAGTCGGACGCTTAACCGACTGCGCCACCCAGGCGCCCCTCCCATAGTACTTCTTAAGGACAAGACATACAATGGTAGGAAGTGGTCAAGTAAAATCAAACATGAATTGGACAGGCAGTTATGGATGAGGGACACAGCTGCCCCATCAGATCAGACTTCAGAACGCTGCAGGAAAAAGGACCCAGTCAGCCAGGGACAAGGTAGGCCCTGTCCTGCAGAGAAGTCATTGAAGACTCTACCTTGGGATTACAGGACAAGTCTGGAAGGTTAACCAGAATGTGAGTCCTAACGGTCAGGCCGAATTCAGTTCTGGGTTCAGGACTTTTTTTTTTTTTTTT